AGTCTTATGAAGCATTGTCAATATACTAGAAGAAAATACATCTAACGTCTCAACTGTCACACCCCATGTGAATGTTTTGTGAAACCCTTCAACATCGTATACTCTCTACACTTGTTACTCTTGTCACAATGTTGCGGAATAAGGTTGTGATGTTTTTCGTTTAACTATATAATAATTAGTGTTAAAAAAAAAAAAAAAGGTAAAATTTTCAAAACTAATTTTATACATTATCACACATCCTCAAATAACTAGCTGTACATGCCCTCTAGTTAGCATTACAGATTAAAGCACTGTCACTTTAATCAAAATTAATCTTAATTAATTAATTTAATTAGAAAAGTAAACAAAAAATTAAGTAAAGGGACAAGAGAACATGGAAGAGTGAGAAGAAGTAAATATGATTGGGCAAAGGTCGATAAGGTCGGTGAAAGCAAACCATATTATTCGTTTTCACTTTTTTTTATTTTGTTTTTGTTTTTTGTTTTCTTGTTTCCGTGTTTTTGTTTCCAATTTTTTTTAAAGGCACCTCTTGCCCTATTGGAAACCAATCAATTAATCGTGTGGCTTCCGGCGGTAAGCTGTCAGAAAATGATTGGGCCCCATCTTAGTACCTAGGAGTGGGCCCATCGGCCTTTTTATAGAATCTTGGGTTCAAAACCTATTGAAGAAATTATGAGAAATAAAGCTTAGATACAAAACTAATACAGCACCATCACACATATCATAGGATATAGAGGTAACAAAACCATCACACATATGTTGTGATAGGCCAAATCCGGAAGATGAAAAATAATTATACGTCAATATCAAAAAATAATAACCCACACAAAACATGAAATAATTTACGTGTTTTGGCTTTTAGCCTACATCTACGAGATCAAAATAGAAAAAAGAATTTTATTAAAAATGGAGTGTACATTTAGTGGTAACTCACTTATGTTTCTCTTGCAATTGGTGCTCATATTTTTAGAGTTTTTGTTTTGGAGGTCATTGCATTTCAAAAATTGCGGAACAAAAAATCTGGGATTAAGACCATGCAGCCACAATTTTAGCTTGAGCATCTTAGAAATTGTTTAGAGACATTTAGCATAAATTGTGTTTCCATTTGGGTGGCTTTAAATGTCACCAGTTTAAGTTTCAAGAAGTGACAAATGTGTTAAGAGATCACATAACGGAAAACATATTAATAACATAGAAATAAGATCACATCTCACAAAGAAACACGATATTTATGTGGTTAGAGTCAATCAACAATTATGCTTTACATATGTTGAAAATGATAGCTTGTTCTTTAGCTCTTGCACTGTGAAACGGGCTACAAGACTTCTCCAATAATTTAATTATAAGTCTTGGTCCACTAACTAGAAAACAATAATTTCTGCGCTAATTTTCAATCACACTTTCTAACTTCATTTGTATGCACCGATTGTTTTATATAGAAAAATAATCTTGAGAACTTGAAGTCACTTTCTTTTCGGTAACTTTCTTCTTTTGGGATTAGCGTGTAATTTTCTTCTTTGAAAGATGAACCATTTCTTATAATATGGTTTCACAACATATTTTCATCAATGTTAAATTTGTCCAATAATTTGATTGGCGTATATAAGGTCTTGATTTACTGGCTTCAAAACAAAAATGTCACTATTTCTACTTCCACTTTGTTACGTATATCATAGACAACAATAATTTCAACGCTAATTTCCAATCTCACTCTCTGCTCGAGTCATTGACAATTATGGTTTACATATCTTGAAATGATAGCTTGTTCTTTAGGTCTTGAAGTGCGGAACGGGCTACAAGACTTTAATCATAAGTCTTGGTCTATTAACTAGAAAACAATAATTTCAATGCTAATTTCCAATTTCACTTTCTGACTTTTTGTATGCACCGATTGTTTTATATAGAAAAATAATCTTGGAGAGCTTCAAGTCACTTTCTTTGCTGTAATTTTCTTGTTTTGATTGTAAGGTTAATATTGAGATAATCTAATTTGAACAGTAGAAGTTGTACGCTGAATCAAAAGTGCAATGATCATAGATGTTGTGAAAGAGAATATAGATGGTTAAGATGATATATGTATGGTTAATGTTATTGCTTGAAATTCAATACACATTTCTGAGTCTAGCCGTATCAGTTATTTGGTTTTGATGACAAATTTTACGACTTAATATTTGCTACTGCACACAGGCCTTATGCATACTGCTGTATAATTAGCGATGCAAACAAAATTACGGATCCAGTTATATTCACCTCTGTTTCAGTCTTCTGTCTCCTTATGCGAAGCCAAACTTAATATTCAAGTTTCTTGAAAATTATAGCTTTTGTTCTTAAGCTCAAGCAGTGTGGAACGGGTTACACGACTTCCCCAATAATTTAAATATAAGTCACCGTCTACTAACTAGAAACAATAATGTTTATCTCACTTTCCAGTACTGCATTTCCAGCCGAAGAAAGTTTGATCAGGATGGTGATAATCTGATAGATGTTACACTTGCCGTGCAATGTGTGTAACTTCTGGGTACGTGAAGATTGGGGTAGAGGACTCCTCCGGTAATTTAATTAGCATAAAGTCTTGGTCTCACTACAAGAAAACAATAATATACATTGTTCTGGCCGATGAGAATAGTTGATAATAAATTTCAAAGAGCTGAGTAATAATATACATTTAAATGCATAAGTTCTGGTAATGAAATTACACAGACATTAAACAAACACAAATCAAACCCATATAGCTTACAAGGCTGAAGCGTGGTGATAGTCGTCTTAGCCACTGAAAAGAATGCAGACAATCCCAAAAGTGTAGCCAAAACCGAACCTCGCTCTTTAAACTTCAAATAATCTCTGACCCTGAGAAACTTTCGGCCAAGCGTTCTTCGACAATAATATGCTTTGTCCAATTACTCCATACCCTGAATTCACTGCACTCCGCAGTAGTAACTTTCTTGCAACAGAAGACCAAAACCTCACAAACAAGTGCTCCTTAAACCATTCTGCTTTCCATCAAAATCTTAATTTTCTCTTGGCGATTAGATTGAACTGAAAGATAAATATTTGCATTACATTGAATATCAATTTTAAAGATATGTCCAAGGAACTTTGGTTGGTTTCTTTTTTAGCATATATGCTTCAGTCCATATTTGGGCTTCCATAGCCTTTAGATATATAGCTATTCCTGAAATAAAGTGTACGGAAAATAAAGAATACAGACATAGAGTAATCCTAGGCTTCTTGTATCTCATTACTGAAATTAGTTTCAACAAAGATCCTCTTAACGCAGATTGTTTCTGTCACCGTAGCTTTCCCATCATCAAAACAGTTGTTACTACTAATTGCATAATTTCTTATGCTGCTAAAAATCATGAATTAGAATTCAGCACTGCTGTCCAAAATCACCAAGCAAGAAATAAAGATGCATCTGGTAAACTGAGAATCTGAAATATACTACAGAACTAACATTTTTCTTCCGAAAGAACAAATAGAGGACTACAGAAATAGTGAGCAATTGAACATTTCACTATCAATGCTCAGAAACTTTACATGTCACTGTTTCCACTTCCACTTTGTTACAAATATCATCCATTCTTTCTTCATTCTCTGCTGGAGTCATCGACAATTATGGTTTACATATCTTGAGAATGATAGCTTGATCTTTAGCTCTTGCAGTGTGGAGCGGGCTACAAGACTTTTCCAATAATTCAATTATAAGTCTTGGTCTACTAACTAGAAAACAATAATTTCTAGGCTAATTTCCAATAATTTAATTTGTGTGCACTGATTGTTTTATATAGAAAAATAATATTGAGATAATCTGATTTGAACAGTACAAGTCGCACACCAAAGCAAAAGTGGAAATGATCATAAATGTTGCGAAAGAGAATATAGATGGTTTTAAGATGATAAGGTTGACATATATATGGTTAATGTTATTGCTTGAAATTCTGTACACAATTCTTTTTTGTATTTCCCCTGTTTTTATCTATTTTCTGAGTTAAAGGTTACATTTCTATGACTGCAAATGTTTATGAACTTAAAATTTTGAAGGTAAACAGTTGAACATTATCTCATTATTAACATCTGGTTCTAAGCTAGATCACAAATGTCATTTTCCAAGTGGTGCCAAAGTAATTAATTCTGGAATCTTATTATTGACTGGGATGATGATGGAGATATGTTATGCAGGAATTAATGTTGTTTAATATTCTTTGTTTTAGTTTATAGCTTTTGTTCTTAAGCTCATGCAATGGGGAACGGGTTACACGATTTCTCCAATAATTTAAACATAAGTCTTCGTCTACTAACTAGAAACAATAATGTTTTATTAAGAAAATCAACTTTGTAATGCTTCAAGCCATTTTCTCAGTTGTAATTTTCTTATTTCCACTAAATGGTCACTATTGAAATAATGTAATTCAAACAGTAAGTCACACGCCGAAGCAAAGTCTTAAGTGATCACAGCTGTTGTGAAAGAGAAAATAGATGATAGGTAAATATGTGGTTATTGTTATTCCATTTTATGATGTTCACTTTTGTGGATTAATTCATCGTCGTGCATGAATCTACATAAACCACTTATTAAGTATGTGTTCTGCCAAAGAGAATACTATGCTTTAGCAGGCGGGCAGACCCCTTTTTTATGGTGATTATAGATGTTTGACATGGATATTATTAATTGTGCAGGTGATAAGATGAACAAAGTGCAACCTTAATTTGGTTATCAAACGAGATTTTAGTCATATAATTTTAAATAATTAAGCTTACTTGAAGAAGAAGAAGAAAGTTTGAACAAGATGGTGATAATCTGATGGATGTTACACTTGCCGTGCAGTGTGTAACTTCTGGGTATGTGAAGATTGGGATAGAGTACCCCGGTTATTTAATTAGCATAAAGTCTTGGTCTCACTACAAGAAAACAATAATGTAACTTTTAAAGATAATGAGTTGAACATAAACTCATTAACAAGTATGTAAACCATGTTAATTTTCACCATCAACAACTCTGATATTTTATTTAAGGAAGTAGTAAAACATAACAATTGAATGCTTGCACTGAAAGACAACATAAGATTAAAAACAAGAAAGAAACATGTTACTACATATTATCAGCAAGAAAATAAAGGAACATTGGTTTTCCAGTTTGCAGCAATACTCAGCCAACAGAACTTCTTGCATGCACTAACTTCATCTTCCTCCACGTTTGTTGTTCAGCCTTCTCCCTTTTCTTGGGTATCCTCCTTCAACCATCCTTATAACCCACTGAGGCTTTCCTATTGAGAACACAAGATATCCCATTGTCAACCCTAACACCATTCCACATCCATACCCTATCAACACCACTTTCCAACCGAATCCACTTGAAGACTCTGCATCATCTTCTAATGTTGAGGGTGGTTGTGGTGTCTCATTGTAAGTACCACATTTTTGTGACAAAGGAAATCCACACAATGCTAAATTTCCATCATATGAATTGTTTGAGAAGGTATCCAAGTGGTTGTCTCGAGGTATGGGTCCGCTAAGATGGTTTTGGGACAAATTTAGAACTTGAAGAAAACTTAAATTTGCTAACTGCCATGGAATTTTCCCAGTAAGCTTATTTGAAGAGAGGTCTAAGGATTCAAGAGCAGTCGAATTTCCAAGCAAAGACGGGATACAACCTGATAGATTGTTATGAGAAAGATTGAGAAGACGAAGTGCATGAAGGTTTCCAATCACTCTTGGAATCTCTCCATGGAAGTAATTGTTTGAACAATCAATGGTGGTGCAAGTAGTGATAATTCTCTCTAGTTGAATTTCATGCCCTTTCCATGTCAAGATAACAGAATCTTGATAATAATCTTCACCCATATATTCCAAATCCATTTCATCTTCACCGACATCCATCATGGCTTAAAGGTTTTTGAAATACAAAGTAGGCAAAAAATTGATGAAGCTGTTGTATGAGAGATCAAAGATTCTCAACTTTGGAAAACACTTGTTTGTCTTGGAACAATCCCGTATAGAACCATAAAACTTATTGGAACAAAGAACCAAAACTCGTAGCTCTAGAAGATTTCCCAACCAATATGGGAATGTATCATTTATCTTCTTGTTTCCAAGATCCAGAACTTCAAATTTTGAACAATTGAGCAAAGATCGTGGAACTGGTCCTTCCAACCCATTGTTGTTCAAGTTAAGGGTACTGTAATGATTTCCCTTCACAAATGTTCCAGGAATGGGGCCATAAAACCTATTCTTCCACAAATCCAACACACGAAGACTGCTAAAATTTCCCATGCACTCTGGAATTATACCACTTATCCTATTATTTGAAAGATCTAAAATTTCTACCATGCTCATATTACAAGTCAAGTGAGGTATCTCCCCAGTCAATTCGTTGTTTGACAGGGAAAATAATCTCAAGTAAGGTGGAAGAATTGGAATTTGTCCCTGGAGCAAGTTGGAATGAAGGTCTAGAAGTTCCAATTTTTTCCATAGAAGTTGCTCCACGCTTGTCAGGTAGTTGTGAGAAAGATTTAACCAGCACAAACGATCCTAACTAGTGTTCCACATCCAGTCAGGAATTTGACCATGGATTTTATTTTCAAAAAAAGATCCAGCGTATCTAAGAGGTCTAGGTTTCTTAAGATACATGGGAATTCACTTCTATTGCAATAGGATAATAGCAAAATTTGAAGTTGTAGGAAGGATGAATAGGCTATGAATTTGGTGCTCACAGATAAACTATTATGAGAAAGATCAAGGACTCCAAGGTTTTTATTCTTTGCAAACATGTGAAGCTCTACAATTCCACTTAAATTGTTTGAAGAAGGAGAGAGAATTTAGATCAAGTTCAAAGATTGAACTTGGAATTGAGCTAATTAATTTGTTATCGCTGAGATCCATCTCCTTAAAAAATGGTAGATTAAATAATCAAGATGGTATTGTTCCATTGAGAGAGTTAATAAAATGACAACTAAATTTCGAAGTCCGCCAGCATAAGAAGGAATTTGACCAGATAATTGATTCCTTGAGAGGTCTAAATGAGAAAGTTGATGGAAATATCTGGAAATTCACCAACAAGATTTGATAGAAATGATGGGATGTGACCACCGAAGTTGTTACTTGAGAGACTCAAGTAAGTTGTGTAAGGTTGCCAAGCGACATAGGAATTGACCCCACTATATTGCAGTTATAGAGACGCAAATGGTACAAAGACATGAGATCGCCGATTGAGTCAGGTAATTCCCTCGAAAAACGCATATCAGAAACATCCATAAACTTAAGGGGGCTACTCCAGTTAACCTTAGGAAAAGCACCTGTCAAGTTGAGGTTACCACTTAAACTAAGGAACTGCAGATTTGGTGAGCGAAAGATGTGATCTGGGATGTTCCCCTATAATCCACAATCATTAAGGCTTAGAGAAGTCAGAGAATAAGACTGATTGGTCAAGAAACTAGGTACTATTGTAGACATATCCACATAATCGAGACAAAGTTCTGTTAGTTTAGTAAGATTTTGAACTAACTCTTGGAAAACAGTTGTTTCAAGTCTCACGAGGGAATTTACTGCCCATGGAGCATATTCAAAGTAATTAGATACAGAGAGGTCAAGAGAAACCAAATTAGACAAGTGGGAGATCTCAGTTGGAATTTTACCACTAAGGTTTGAATTGGAAAGGTTGAGGTTCGTCAAACTAGGTAATTGACTGAAATGAGAAGAAACTTGAGAGAGATTGAAATAATTGAAAGCAAGATTGAGCATTTGCAGATGATAAAAGAGAAAAATGCTACTGTTGGAAGGAATGTCGCCATGAAGCCACCCACAACTAAGGTCGAGGGCAATTACATGACCAGTTAAAATATCACAAGTGACACCATCCCATGTGCAACAATCAGTATCCTCTTTCCAAGACATTGTTTTTTGATAAAGAGGACATCTTCCATCACAATGTGGTGGGATCTCATTTAAAAGAAAAGATTCTTCTCCTAAAGAATCACAATCGTAGTCGAAAAGAAAATTCTTGTAAGAAAAGTGTTGCTTAAATTGGAGCAATGCAATACTTTGGTCATAAGAGCAGAGTGTTGCGGAAGTTTTGAGAATATAAGAGCAATATTGGAGGAAGAGAAGTTGATAAGCCAATGTTAGGCAGCCCATCTTCTTTGCTTGTGAAATCTCAAGAACTGATATTGCTATAAATATAAGAGAAATGGGGGTATGTACATAATAGACTCGATTGACAAATAATAGATAAAGAAAGAAAACAGTTTAATGCTTGAAGTAACTTTCTATTTAGCTCTACTCTCTTTCCTCTATTTTAACGTATCTTGAGAATTATAGGTTGTTCTTAGGCTCACGCAGCAAAGAATTGGTGACAAGACTTCAATAATTTAATTAGAAGTCTTGGTCTACAATATTCTCTATATTAATTGTTTACCCCAAGAGTATTGTGAAACTAACATGGGAAGTCATGGAACATGCTTCATCATAATGTGAACCCACCAAGAAAATGTTCTTGTAATTTTTCAAAATGTGAATGTCAAGGATGACATTTTATGATGACAGATTTAGAAATTATTGGAGACCTTTTAGAAATTAAAGGATTCGCAATGTTGGATTATATGTGAAAGCAGAGTGGTATGATTAAGTGGTTGTTATGGGCTACGGGCATTGCAAGAAAACAGTGCAGTCTGTCACGAGAGAAGGGCATTCTGCTTTGATTTGCTTTGCAAGGGGATTTTGTCATAATAGATCTCTAATTTAATGGAGATTGAGCTAGTTCCATCAGCATGTAAGGTATACATTAATTTTTGGTATGTTTAAAACTTGTTAGAAAATTTCTTAGAAACGTGAGCCCGGCTAGATATATAAGCCAGTTACTTGACTAAGAATATGACCATTTACATATATTAAGAATGATAGCTTGTTCTTTAGCTCTTGCAGTGGGGAATGGGCTACAAGACTTCTCCAATAATTTAATTAAATATTTTCCAAGATTGGAATTGTCATTTTCCTAGTGGTGCCAAAGAAACTAGAATATAGAATCCTATTACTAAACTTCGTTGAGTTTCGTACTAAACTTCATTCAGTCAAAAGGAACAATAAGTGGGGTTCTCCTGTCTCACAGACTTGAATCTATGGCTAATGCACGTCAAAAAGCAAATGCTTTTCTTAGTCTTATACTACTTCATGATTAATTGATCAGTCTTAGTCTTAGTCTTCGCTATATATGATTAATGGAAATATCATTCAGAACTCAAAACAATCCTATACCAACCCATCAAAGCCTTCTTTTTATTTCCCAATATCCAGAAAAAAGAAAAAGAAAAAAAAATTAATGTCTATGTTTAATGAAATAATGAAAATTAATTTTATTTTATAAAAGAATTGTTTTTTTGGGCAGTAAGAGTTGTTGCAATAGTTGAATACCGTTCGATGAATAAACTTTTCAGAATAATATTATATATATTGGGAATTCAATTATTTTGGAAGAAGATAAACAGAAGAAACTAAAGCATGGCTTAAGTAAAGTAGTACGCTGATATTCCCAGTGGAGTATTAATGGCAGTTGGCTAACAATTTTTTACTGATTTCAGAGTTTCTCAACTTAAATATTTTTTTATCTTAATGACAGAAATAAAGTTAATGTATCTACAGGGAATTTATGGATATCATTGACAACTTCTTATGCTTCACAACCAGGCGATGTGGGATCCGATAGATAGTGTTATAAGTAGAAGACAAATGGGGAGTCAAGGTTAGGTACAACATCTCACGGTATAGTCACACTATTTACAAGGAAACAAAGTTGAAACAGAAGAGAAAAAAGAAACTGCAGAAAATTGTTGTGAGAGATGAGAAGTAAAGATGAAATTAATGTCTGTCTAAATAAAAAGATAAAGGTAACTAGGTAAGTCTTGGTCATGCATTGGTGGGCTGCATAGTGAACTCCATCAACTTTTGGTCACCAAAGTCTTGGTCATGCATTAGTGGGTTGTATAGTGAACTCCATTAACTTTTGATCACCAAAGTCTTAAGAAAATTTAGCTGTCCATCCATCCCAAGTTTCCATTTAACAAAATGGCCATGAAAATCTTTTTGATTTTTTTTTTTTTTTTGATTAAAAAATATGATGTGGCACACTTAAGTGTAATTAAAGCAGTAAAAAGGATTAGGGTAAAAAGATTTAAACATTTGTGGGTTAGAGTATAATAAAGAGAAGTTGATTTAAAATTTGAAAGGCAAAACACATTTCTCTCGGCTTCTCTTTCTCACAACAGGATTCAAACACCTTTCTCTCTCTCGTTTTTTCTTCCAATTTTCTGCAATTTCTCAATTTCTTTGCTCTTTGCATTTTTGTCATTCTTTGCCACTCCCGATTAAGTTATAATGGTTGAGATCCTTAAAGAAACAGAAAAAAATCCATCTACTCCCCAAATTGTAGGCACCACTAGGTCTGCCAAAAATGGAGAAGAAGAAGTTCTGGTGGAGTAACTTCCGATGACTGAAGTTGCTCCACCAGGAGAGGAGACGGCATCGACGGAAGACATTCTATTGGCGGAACAACGGAGGGCAAGAGTTGAAATTGAAACTGAAGAGGAGGATGTTGACGCAAATTCCAAGAGTCAGACATGATTGCTTAAGCGATCTAAAATCGCTTAAGCGACCAAGAGTAAAAGCAAAGGATCGCTTAAGCGATCTGGTATATGATAGAAGATCACTTAAGCGATCGTGCATCTGGGCAGAAGTTGATTCTGCCTCAGACATGACCACTTAAGCGATTATAAATCGCTTAAAGCGACCAATGTTTAAAGCGACCAACGTTAAAAGCAAAGGATCGCTTAAGCAATCATGCGTCTGGGCACTTATT